AGCAAAGCATGATCCAATTTGCTCCTGCTGGGAAAAATATTCCTTCCTGATCCCCCAAGAGGAAATCGGATATTCCCTGGATCAACTTTACCTATAAATGTTATATCCAGTTATATTCTGTGTATCTAAGAAACAATCCAGGACTTTTTAGAAGCAATCCACTGAGCTACAGTTATAAAACATAACTGTAATGAAGTATGTCCCACGCCCTTCAGGCTGATGGCGCCAGTACAAATGTTCTCTCCAGTGATGCCCAGTCCTCTTCACAGTACTAGACTTTCATTGCTGCTGGGGTTAATAGCATGGGAACTAACATTGAAATATACTGAAGAAGGCCCATCCCTTTCTGTCTCCTCCTCCATTGACAAAAGTCCATTCATTTCACTAAATAATGGTGTATGAACAGGGAGAAGTTCTTGTCATTTATCCACCTCTTCCCCATTCACAGAAAGTATTACATTCCATGAAAACAATCCAAAGAATTTTTCCAATGGAGGAGAGGGCAGAATGGGACAGGTGCCCATCAGGACCTTCTCCAATGTACTGCAATGCTAGACTCAAAGCTTTTAACCCCCAAAGTACTGGAATTTCAGTGAAGTGAAGAGGACCAGGGATCACTGGAGAGAAGATTTGTTTAGGAATCATCCTGCAGACTTTCATTTTTAAAAAATGTTATCAAGCACATTTTAATGACAATAATTATTACGTTTTTCTGTGCAGTTGTTCCTTGGCTTTGACAGTCTCCATCATACACAGGACCTGCACAGATCCACCCTTTCCCCTTAAATCAATCCATGATAAACGAGATAAAATACGTACCTGCAATAAAGTATTTGTTCTTCTCTCCAGTGATGCCTGGTCCTCTTCACAGTGCTGGACTTCCAGTTCTGTGGGGGTTAGGAGCTTGGGGTTCAAGCACGCTGAAGAAGGTCCCTACGGGTGCCTGTCCCTTTTTGTTCTCTGCTCCTCTGACAAACATCGATTTGTTGATTTCACTTAATGTAACAGTCTGTGAACAGGCAGAAGTTTCAGGCATTTAATAAAATCTTCCCCATTCACAAAACGCGCCACATTCCACAAAAAGGATTTTTGCAAATGGAAGAGAGGATAGAACAGGACAAGCACCCATCAAGTCCTTCTTCAGTAAACTGTAATATTAGACCTGAAGTTTTGAACTCCCATAGCGCCAGAAGTTCAGTGAAGAGGACCTGGCATCGCTGGAAAGAAACTTTGTTCAGGAACCATCAGCCAGAAGGACTTTGGCTTTAAAAGAATGTCATCAGCATTAGTAATGGCAGGGAATACCTGAAAAATAGGCCGCATATTTGCGTACCCAAATGTAAACAAACCCGTGGCAAGAACGCGTGCCCAGAACGCTCCCAGCAGGGTTACCGGCGCCTAACAGAAAGCTCCCGATCGTTACTTCGAGATCAGAAGCTTTCCAACCATGTGATCGCTGTGACAGCCAATCAGGTGCATGATCTTAAACTCCGCCCCCACCTCCCGGCATTATAAACCCCCAGAAAGCTACCGATCGTTACTTCTAGATCGGAAGCTTTCCAACCATGTGATCACTGTGACAGCCAATCAGGTTACATGATCTTAAACTCCGCCCCCACCTCCCGGCATTATAAACCCCCAGAAAGCTACTGATCGTTACTTCTAGATCGGAAGCTTTCCAACCATGTGATCACTGTGACAGCCAATCAGGTTACATGATCTTAAACTCCGCCCCTACCTCCCGGCATTATAAACCCCCAGAAAGCTACCGATCGTTACTTCGAGATCGGAAGCTTTCCAACCATGTGATCGCTGTGACAGTCAATCAGGTTACATGATCTTAAACTCCGCCCCCACCTCCCGGCATTATAAACCCCTTAAAGGGCCAGGAGGTGCTGGCGCCAAGGGGTTAAGCAGGACTCAAACCAACAAAAAATTTAAAAGCCCATTAGATCATATGCAAGTATTTACCTTTTTTTCTGCCACAAGATGTCTCCAGTGTGATGGCCACCATCATTCAACCCACTTCCTCTGAGCCCAGATCTTCCTGGACCTGTCCAACCTGGAGGGGAGGAGCAGCTTAGTGATGAGCTCATCTCTCTGGCACTCTGCTTTCTCTTCCTGTCAGCATACTTCTTGTCAGCACATAAACCGATTGGCTCCTTGTGCCGCTTCTTCCTCTCACATTCCAGCCCCGCTGTATAATAACTGCAAGTGGCTGATACCAGGTCATATTCAGATACCTAACTACCTCCCGCCTGACCAATAGTGATAAATGACGGCCAAGAAGGAGCATTGTAATCCTGGGTGGATGTCATCCTAGTCGCCCTAGGCGCCTTGCTGTGGCGCAATCTGTCAAACCATTGTGTCCATTGGATGCAGCAGATGATAGCTCATTGTACTGGACCAGCCCCAGTACCATGTGATCGCTGTGACAATCAATTAATTCATTCCTAGCTATTTATTATGTGCTATTGTGATCCCTGTGATTGGTCACAGTGATCACATGGTACAGACAGTACCAATCAAAGCTCACCTGTACCATGTGATAGCTGTGGTCATTCACAGGGATCACAATAGCACATAATAGAACATGAATCGATGCAATTCATAAAAATGATTGCCTATAATAGTGATTATCACTGTTATAAGTATTCATAACATAAAAAAAATCCTGATCACGTCCACAGAGTAGTACAGTGTCGCTATGGTTACATTGTGCTGCTCTGGTCACAGTATGTTAAAACAAATTGTAAAAAAAAAGACAAAAAAGTTAAAAAAAAAATATTATTTTATTTATTTTATTATTTTTTTTACATATTCTCACCAGTCAGTATCTCTGATCATGCCACACCAGTCATATGATGATGCTATACTGCTCTGGTGACAATATGTAAAAAATCAAAAAAGTTAAACATGTATTTATTTTCTTAATTTTCCCAAAAACTGTGAAGAAAAGGACAACTTCAAAAAACTTGCCTTGCCTCTCACTAAATACCTAGGATTGTCTACATTCCAAAAAGGGGTTATTTGGGGGGTATTTATACTGTCCTGGCATTTTAGGGCCTCATAAAATGAGATAGGCTATCAGTACATCAGGATTGATTAATTTTCATATACTGTACATATACCATAGTTTGTAGATTCTAAAACGATCCCAATAATAATAGTAAATAATATACACCAATTTGGGTCATTTTTACCAAAGAAATTTAGCAGAATACATTTTGGCCTAAATTTATGAAGAAAGATTATTTATTTCCAAAATTTTATAAAAGAAACAAAGAAAAATGTGTTTTTTTTTTTTTATTGTTCTGTATTTTTTTGTTTATATAGCAAAAAATAAACAAATGTAAAAAACAGTGGTGATTAAATATCACCAAATGAAAACTCTATCTGTCTCAAAAAATGATAAAAATCTAATTTCTGTTTGGACTTTTTCATTTATATAGCAAAAAAATAAAAATCCCAGTGGTGAATAAATACCACCAAAATAAAATGTTATGTGTCTCAAAAAAGGTAAAAAATTTATATGGGTACGGTGTTGCATGACCGAGTAATTGTCATTCAAAGTGTGACAGCTCTGAAAGCTGAAAATTGGCCTGGGCAGGAAGGGGGTGAAAGTGTCTGGCATTGAAGTGGTTAAATTGGTTGCATTTGAAAAAAATATATATTGCCATCCTCCCCATAGCAGAAGTACTGCTACAGGGCAGCATGGCTGCGCAAAATCACGTATATATATGTGATTTGCATTTCTGCTATTGGCAGGACTCAGTAATTGTCTGCAAATTTGATAGGGGAGAGATCTGTGTGTAAACAACACAGGTCTATCTGCTGTCAGCATGGACATGCTGCTTTGTATTTCTCTGCACAGCAGAGAGGTACAAAGCAGCATGTCTCCCAAGTTAAACAGCACACAGCACGCACCGTAAAACACACACAGCACACTGTTAACCCTTTTGTTTGCCCCAGATATTAACCCCTTCCTGCCCAGTGCCATTAGTACAGTGTCAGTGCTTTTTATTAGCACTGATCACTGTATTGGTGTCACTGGGGATGTCAGTGGCACCAAGTCAGTTCCCCCCCAGTGTCAGAATGTCTGCCGCAGTCCCGCTAAAAGTCGCTATTACTAGTAGAAAAAAAAATTCAAGTATCTATACCGCCATTTGTAAACGCTAAAACTTTTACATAAACCATTTCATTTACACGTATTGGGATTTTTTTGGGCAGACATGTAGCAGAATACATTTTGGCCTAAATTTATGACGAAATTTGTTTTTTTTAAATTTTTTTACTGGGCATGTTTAATAGCAAAATGTAAAAAATATTGTTTTTTCTCAAAATTGTCAGTCTTTTATTTTTATAATGCAAAGAATAAAAAATGCACAGGCGATTTCCCCCCTCAGTGTCAGAATGCCCGCAGCAGTCTCGCAGGACCGCTATAAGTCGTTAATTGACACCATTACCAGTATGAAAAAAAAAATAATTCCAGTATATATACACACCGCCATTTGTAGGCGATTTAAACCAATTAATATACACTTTTTAGCAGACATGTAGCACAATACATTTTGGCCTAAATTTATGAATAAATGTGATTTTTTTTTAAATTTTTTACTGGATATGTTTTATGTCAAAAAAAGTTTTTTTTTCTAAATTGTTGGTCCTTTTTGTTTATAGTAAAAAAATAAAAATCACAGAGGTGATCAAATACCAGGGAAAGAAAGCTCTATTTGTGGGAAAAAAATGACATAAATTTAATTTGTGTACAGTGTTGCATGACCGCGCAATTTTAGTTAAAGTAATGCAGCGCCGCATCTCAAAAAATGGCCTGGTCAGGAAGGGGGGGGGAAATTCTCTGGAGGGCAAGTGATTAATAAATACAGAGCTGCATTAATTTGTGTTTTTAATATCTCCCTAGAGTTCAACTTTAACCACTTCCCCTCTGGCCCATGTATATGAAACGGCCGGACGGGAGCAGTGCAGGGGTGGGTAACCGTTTATAAATGTCCTCCAGCTTCCCAGCCTATGCGTGCTCCCTGGCTGCGCGCAGCACCGCGATCTGGTTCCTTCTGTGTCTGGAGGTGTGAGGTCCCGATCATGTGATCACTGATTGGCCAGTGATCACATGAATAGTAGTAATCAAGATGTCACTTCTGACATAATTGCTTACTACTAGTCAAATCTTTGAATGATCACAGAGGTCACATGGTACAAGCAGGGGTGGACTGACCATTTGGAAACTCGGGCATTGCCCGAGGGCCTGGGGTCAGTAGGAGGCCCCTTGAGATGCCCCTGGTACCTTTTTCATAGGCTTTTTTGAGTTTGGGCAAGGACACAGGGGCCCCATGATCCCCTATTGCCCGGGGGCCCCATGAGTTGTCAGTCCGCCCCTGGGGCAGACTGAATGTACCACTTTGCTTTTTTCAGCTGTCACCATGTTTCTGGAGCAGACTGAATGTACCACTTTTCTTTTTTTCCCATGAGTTGTCAGTCCGTCCCTGGGTACAAGGCTATTCACAACAGCCTTGTACCATGTGACAAGCTGTGACCAGTCACAGCTCACACAGTATTTCTCAATGACTGCAAGAATGCAGCCAGAGAGGAGAAATTGTTGATTTTACAGCCTTTATGGGTGTAAAAGCAATCAGTGTAAAAAAAAAAAAAAAATCTTCATCACCCCCCACATGTAGTACAGTGTCACTATGGTGACACTGTACTGCTAGGGTGACAGTATGTTAAAAAAAAAAAAACATAAATAATAATATAAAATAAAAATGTAAAAAAAGTTTAGAAAAATTATAATTTTTGGTTATAAACTAATTTGTGTTATTTATTTTTTTTACTAAAAAGATAACGGAATACATTTTGGCCAAGATTTATGAAGAAAGATTATTTATTTGCAAACTTTTATATCAAAAACACTTTTTTTTCAAGATGTTTGGACTTTTTCATTTATATAGCAAAAAAATAAAAATCCCAGTGGTGAATAAATACCACGAAAATAAAATGTTATATGTCTCAAAAAAGGTAAAAGTTCATATGGGTACGGTGTTGCACGACCGCGAAGTTGTCATTCAAAGTGTGATAGCGCTGAAAGCTGAAAATGGGCCTGGACAGGAAGGGGGTGAAAGTGTCTGGACTTGAAGTGGTTAAATACCATCCATAACATTGTTACCAATAGTGCGCTTCATCAGAATCTAACAAACCTTCTTGGGCAGAAATGCTCCGTCCAGGGGCAGACTGACAACTCATGGGGCCCCAGGGCAATAGGGGATCATGGGGCCCCTGAGTCGTACCCCAAACTCCAAAAAGCCTATGAAAAAGGTACCAGGGGCATCTTATGGGGCCCCCTACTGACCCCGGGCCCTCGGGCAATGCCCGAGTTTCCAAATGGTCAGTCCGCCCCTGGCTCCATCTTGCTCCCCAGGCTCCTCATTGGCGCTAAGCACTCACATGAAGTGTAACGTTGGCGCTGACAGTTGACAATTCCCATGAACGATACGTATAATTGTAACAATACGCGGCTATCAAGCTTTTACTCTGGATGTGGTATTAATGGGAGATATTTCATTTTTACTCGACAGCTCTGCTTTAATCCACGTCGACTTTCTGTCTGGAGAAAAAGAGAAAATATTACAATTAATTATAATAAATTTTCAGCCGGGCTGTTCTACCGACACTGAAAAACAAACTGGCGGACGCAATGGACGGCATTCCGCTGCGGCATTAGGACACAGTTATTCAATTTTTAATCATGAATTTAAACTTTATGACTTGCTTCCTTCATGTTTATGGCTATTATCCGCAATAAATTCTGCAAACGCACTCCCGTTTTACATACGCTGCCAGGTTTAGGAATGGTTTCTGTTAGCCTGCAATTATGGAACGGTCATGTCGCTAAGTTACCCGATGATTACTTGCAGCAAATACAGAGAAAGCTGTCATCATACTATTTTTACTGGGAAAAAAAAAGGGGAAGTCTTTTAATGCGCAGGAATCAAAACGGAATTGTGTTTAAAAGTAAGAAAAACCATGTTTAACCACTTGCCCTCCTGAGGATTTACCCCCCCCCCCCCATCAGGCCATTTTTTGTGATACGGCGCTGCGTTACTTTAACTGACATTTGCGCAGTCATGCAACACTGCACTCAAATGAAATTTACATCCTTTTTCCCACAGATATAGCTTTTTTTGATGGTATTTGATCACCTGTGTATTTTTTATTTGTTGCGCTATAAGCAAAAAAAGACCCACAATTTTGAGACAAAAAAACAATATTTTTGACTTTTTTTTTGCTATTAAACATGTCCAGTAAAAAAAAATTAAAAATCTAATTTTGTCATAAATTTAGGCCATTCTGCGACATGTATTTGCTAAAAAAAAAATATGTGTAAATTAATTGGTTTACGTGAAAGTTTTAGCGTTTACAAATGGCGGTGTAGATACTGGATTTTTTTTTTCTACTAGTAATGGCGGCGATCAGGGACTGCAGGGGGGGGACTAACTTGTGTCAATGACATCCCCAGTGACACCAATACAGTAGTCAGTGATAAAAAAAAAGCACTGTACTAATGACACTGGGCAGAAAAGGGTTAACATAGGAGATGATCAAAGGGTTAACTGTGTGCTGGGAGTGTTTTACTATGGGGCTTTGTCAGTGTGCTTCACTGTAATCATACTGCTTCGAATGACTGTGCTGTGCACCCAGTACAATACCCAGTAGGGGCCTGAGGAGGGCATAAATAGTAGAGGGCAGAATTCTTGTCCAGGAGGAGAAAGCTCCCATTCTGAAGCAGTACTGGGCAGGACTACTGAAGTTTCACGGGAGCTCATTGAGGTCCAAGCTCAGCCAGAGCTGTGGGGTCTATTTCTCTGAGAAAAGCTGGAGCTGATCAAGGGATTCACTGAGGATCTGGTGTGGGAGTTAACAGGAGAAATGTCTGGCCGATATTGGAAAGGGACATTGTGAGTACAGACCTGAGTGAAGGATCCTAGTGACTGTCCTCTGCTACCATCCCCTTGTGCATCAGAGCCAGTGATTGCTTGGATGGGGACTTTTCCCTATTTTGGGGCCTCAGTGCTGCTCATTCCCTTAGTGGCTGCTGAAGGAACTATACTAAGAAGTCCAGACAAAGCAAAGGGTGTCCTCGAAGTATTGCACCATGTTCTGGAGTAACCCACAGCTCCCTGCACCCTAACCAAGTTAAAATTTTAATAAAGAATCATAAGATACCCCTAGACTGATCATTTAGCCGTGATATTTACTGTGCTGCTGTGTGCCTGGCTGCTACAACACCAACTTGGGAAAAGAACCAACGGACTAATCAGTGAGCCCTTCAGGGGGTGAGAGCTGTACCTTTACATACATGAAGGGTTTGGATAAGGCTCAGGAAGGCAGTATTTTCAATTTGAAACTAAGATGAAGAACACGGGGACATGACCTCAATCTAGTAGAAGGAAAGTTAAAAAATAACCCTAAAAAGTATTATTTTACAGAAAGAATAGTTGATGCTTGAATTGGCTTCCAAAAGAGGTAGTGAGCCAGTCAACAGAAGGTAACTTTAAACACGCTCAAGACAAAAAGGTAAAAAAATAAATAAATACAAAAAGGGGCAGACTGAATGTACCACTTTTCTTTTTTCAGCTGTCACCATGTTTCTGGGGTAGACCAGGGGCATACTGACCATTTGGAAACTCGGGCACTGACTGAGGGCCCCGGGGTCAGTAGGGGGCCCCATGAGATGCCCCTGGTACCTTTTTCATAAGCTTTTTTGAGTTTGGGCAAGGACACGGGCCCCTTGATCCCCTATTGCCTGGGGGCCCCATGAGTTGTCAGTCCGCCCCTGGGGCAGACTGAATGTACCACTTTTCTTTTTTCAGCTGTCACCATGTTTCTGGGGTAGACCAGGGGCATACTGACCATTTTGAAAAACTCGGGCACTGCCCAAGGGCCCGGAGTCAGTAGGGGGCCCCATGAGATGCCCCTGGTACCTTTTTCAAAAGCTTTTTTGAGTTTGGGCAAGGACACAGGGGCCCCATGATCCCCTATTGCCCGGGGGCCCCATGAGTTGTCAGTCCGCCCCTGGGGCAGACTGAATGTACCACTTTGCTTTTTTCAGCTGTCACCCTGTTTCTGGGGCAGACTAAATGTACCACTTTTCTTTTTTCAGCTGTCACCATGTTTCTGGGGTAGACCAGGGGCATACTGACCATTTGGAAACTAGGGCACTGACTGAGGGCCCGGGGTCAGTAGGGGGCCCCATGAGATGCCCCTGGTACCTTTTTCATAAGCTTTTTTGAGTTTGGGCAAGGACACAGGGGCCCCATGATCCCCTATTGCCCAGGGGCCCCATGAGTTGTCAGTCCGCCCCTGGGGCAGACTGAATGTACCACTTTGCTTTTTTCAGCTGTCACTATGTTTCTAACTGGTGGCAATATATCCTTCAATGTCTTGGGTATCAGTGAAAAGAAAGCCATGATGTTGGCTGGTGCAGTTTATCCTCCCCTCTGTTGGTGGTGCTGTTTAGCTGGAATGGAGGTTACAAGGATCCTTGCTCCTCCAAAGCCTCTGTAGATGTCATCAGGGAAGCAGCTGTCCAATCTACAGTCTTCTATGTACAACGCTTGTGCCACCATCAGCCCAATATCATGGCACTCTGCCAACATACTCATCAATGGGTTACCACCCACCTGTCCTTCTCTGGGAGATATCTGCCCATCTGTAACCACTTTCAGCATTTGTGAAATGTACATAGCAGAATCCACGTTCGCAGTCTTCGCATTTTTCCTGTAATAGGAATAAGCCAAGTCTAGCACCTGCAGGAAGTGGGCGTATTGTGAAAGCTTCATTTATTCCGGTAGGAAACGGTGGCATAAAAGTAAATAAGCAGCAAGCATTCCGACTTAAAATAAAGACAGCAAAACAAACAGGGAAGTGCACACAAAACAAAATGTAACAGTCAGGACAACACAAACTACTCCTTACTGGCATGATTATATCCACATCTGTTCTTTCTGAGCTTTATTGTGATGTGTATAAAATAATACAACCGGTACCAAAACCTGCCGTGAACATGTTGAGGCATTTAAATGCTTAAGGAAGAAAAAAATTTCTCTTTACTTTCGCTCCTTTGAAAATAATGGATTA